AAAAACTTACTACATAACTACTGTAATCAAGAGTGTATGGTACTAGCATAAAAACAGATGTATAGATCAGTGGAATAGAATCCAGAAATAGTACCACATGGGCAAATGATTTTTCGTAAGTGTGTCAAGACAAGTCAATGGATCAAGAAGAGTCTCTTGAACAGGTACTGTTGGAGCAGCTGAACATCCACACGCAAAAATGAAGTTAGACCCACCTCAGAGCAGATATAAAAATCAACTCAAAATGAACCGAATGTAACAGCTAAAACTATTAAAAGAAAGCACAGGAGTAAATCTTCATGACCTTGCATTAGGCAATGGTTTCTTAGATATGGCATATGACACCTAAAGCATAAGGAACCAAAAAAAAATTGGACTTTGTCAAAACTAAAACCTTTTGTGCTTCAAAAGACACTGTCGAGAAAACGAAAAGACAATCCACAAATAGGAAAAAGTATTTGCAAATCACCTATCTACAATAGTCTAGCATCCAGAATATATGAAGAACACTTACAACTCAACAATAAAAAGACAAATAACCCAATTAAAAATGGGCAAGGAATTTGAATAAATATTTCTCTAAAGATGTGCAAATGGTCAATAAACACAAGAAAAAATGCTCAACATCATAAGTCATTAGGAAAATGCAAATCAAAACCACATCACGCCCACCAAGATGGCTACAATCAAAAAGCAGGACAATATCAAGTGTTAGCAAGGATGTGAATAAATTGAAACCCTCATACCACTGCTGTGGTATGAATAGTTTTGCAGTTTCTCAAAAAGTTAAACGGAATTACCATAAGGCCCTGCAATCCTATTCTTCATATTGTATGATTTCATTTATATGAAATGTCTAAGACAGGCAGATCCATGAAACAGAAATTAGATTAGTGGTTGCCAGGGGCTTGGGGGAAGTAGAAATACAGTGGTAAATAACTACTAATGGGAACAGGGCTTCTTTTGGGGGTGATGAAAACATTCTAGAATTAGATAGTGTTGATAATTGCACAACCATGTGAATAGCCTAATCACTGAAATCTATACTTTAAAAGGGTGAATTTTATGGTATGTGAATTACATCTTAATAAAACACAGTGAACTATTGACACACACAACAATCTGGATGGATGTACAGACATCATGCTGAGCAAAAGAAGCACATATGCTATGATTCCATTGATATCAAGTTCAAAAACAGGCCCCAAATCCCCAGTATCCTATGTTGTTTAGGGGCACATACATATGTACTAATTAGAATAAAAATAATCATGAGGGCCCTGGCTGGTGTGGCTCAGTGGATTGAGTGCCAGCCTGTGAACCAAAAGGTCTCCAGTTCGATTCTCAGTCAGGACATATGCCTGGGTTGTGGGCCCAGTCCCCAGTTGGGGTGGTCCTGTGAGAGGCAACCAATCTATGTTTTTCTCGGGCGTCGATGTTTCACTCCCTCCCTTTCTCTTTTTCTTCCCCTCTCTCTAAAAAAAATAAAAATCTAAAAACGAGTTTATAAGAAATAGTCACGAGGAAGATAAAACACCAAACTCAAGTCACTGAAAGGAAAAAGGGAGATGGAAGTGGTGCAAGGACTTTAAGTGTATGTGTAGTGTTCCTTTTAAAAAGGATCTGAAATAAATAAGACAGGTTTCTGTCCTCCTCCTGGTAGACTCCAGAGTCTGGAAGAGGCGTAAAGAGTCCAAATGCCATGGGCTGGCACCAAGCTCTAGAATCCTAGTAGATGCCAGGAGGGAGGCAACCGGTCAGGGAAGACTTCAGGAAACAGAGGATGATAGGGCCAAGTCTCAAATGGAGGTACGACAGAGAGGATGCTTGGCTGGGACACTCCACCCCCACCCTCACCCCCACCTCCCGCCCTCGTGGGTCTCCCCCAAAGCCTAGCCTGGCCCCACTGATTCCCTTATCTGCCCACTCCCAGCTGCCTCCCTGCTGGCTGAACTGTAGCCGCAGACTTCTGGGCCTGTGCCCCCTCCAAGGGATGGGGGAGGGTATAGGGCTTGGCCTCAGAGCCTTAGGGTTTCTAGCTCTTGATGGAGGCAGGGCTCTGAGGCCCCCAGTCCCCACCCTTCACTTCCCTTCCTGAGCCCTTTCTCCCTCCAGTTATGAAGAAACAGGCCATGAGTCTGGTGGCCAAACCCTTGTGTGAGACATGCCTCCAGCCTGCCCTTTCCCAGGAGGACAGATTTCCCTACCTCTCCCCCTACACTGCCACTGCTGTTTCTAGTAATAATAACAATGAGGGGGGTTACCTTAACAGAGCTCACTGTTCATGGTGTGCCAGGCAGTCCCTGGGTTGAGTGGCATCTCGACATTTGATGTGGGCTCTATGATTGTACCCATTTTCCAGGTGAAGGAACTGGGCTCAGAGGATGACTTGCCCAGGAATCATATAGCAAATCAGTGTCAGAGATGAGACAAGAACCCAGGGCCTTGGATGAATATCTTTCTTTCTCTATGCCTACTCCCAGTCTAGAAGATGGGGGCAATCATATGCACTTACACCGAGAGGACATGGTGAGAATGGGATAAAATTATGCACGAAGAGCACTTAGCATGACGCCTGGGGTGGTTTGGCAAACACTGTGGCTGTTGTTATTATATTAGTACTAAGAAAAGTATCAGTATTAGAATCAGTATTATTATCATTATTGTTGTTGATAGAATTAGGATGAACAATTATTAGTTTTAGAAATAGTATTAGTACTACTGATAGCATTGCTGTTATATTGGAATTAGCATTATTAGTATTGCTATTATTATTATTATTATCAAAATTAGTATTAGTGCTAGTATCAACATTAGAATTAATATTAGGATTAGTAATTACAATTGGTATTGGTGTCAGCATATTATTAGCATCAGTATTAGAATCAGTACTAGTTCTAGGGGAAAAGGTCCAAGTACTATCCCTCACGTACACTAGATACTCAATTAACAAATAAGTATACTTAACAGTTATTGAGATATCAGATTCAACTGAGTTAAAATCACTTAATGGATTAAATTTCGATTAGTGGTCCCATCACCCTGTGAAGCAGTCACTATTATTACCTGATCTTTACAGAAGAGGAACTGAGGTCCAGAGAAGAGAGCAACTCACCCAGGGTCACACAGCGACTCGGTGGTAGTGTGGTCTATAAATGAGAGTGGGCTGGCTCCACAGTGCATGTCCTGAAATCATCTTCACTTAAGTCAGTGGGGTCTTTTTGCCTTGTTCTTACCAATGAGGGCTCGGCATGGGCGTGGCACATAGCAATAGCTCAGTAAATTCCAAGTCGTGGCTTTGCTCTCTCTACTTCTCAAAACCCCCATTTTGCATGTGATGACACTGAGACCAGAAAGAAAAGATGAAGATGGGGAACTCCCTCTGGTGTGGGCCATAGGTAAGCAGACCCCACTGACTCAGGGCTCCTTCCTTGCCCTCTCCCCTCAGTGAGTCTCAGTCTCCCCATCTGCAGAGTGGACAGTCTGGAGAACACCCTGTCCCATTGAATTCTGGGGCCATGATAGTGTATGTAGTCTTACCCCCTTCCCCATGGGGATCCAAGTTGGACGCCTACCTTATGCACTGTGTGCATGAGTCCAGTGATTTCATGTGGCTAAAGTGCTCAAAACAGTCCAGGCATGAGTCTTCGATAGCATGAAACACTGGTTGTCATCACTGTTATTACTAGTTGGGGGAGGCAGGACACGGTAGAAAGATGGGGACTGAGGTACAGAGGCCCAGGGACTCTATGAGGGTCCCTCTCAGCAGGTTGAGGGCAGAACCACAGGCCACATGGGTCTACATCAATCTACATCCCCTCGTGCCACCAACCCCAGTATCACCTGCCCAGGGTGTACCCAGGCTGCCACGTGGGATCTCATGGACTTCCTCTCAAACCCTCTCTCAGATCTGTGCCTCTGTCCCCCTCTCCAGCATCAGCTTTGTCTCCACCTCTGTTGTGGGCCTCTGTCATTTTCGGGTTTTATCTGTCCCTTCTGTCTGTCTCTGTCTCTCCTTCTCTTTGCCTATCTGTGTCTTTGTCTCTGGCTCTCTCTGTGCCTCTATCCCCCTCTCTTGGTCTCTCCTTTCTTTCTGTGCCCTCTTCCTCCTTCCAGCTCTGTATTTTTCTCTGTTTATCTCTCTGTGTCCCTGGATTTCAATCTCTCTCTCTTGCTGTCTCACTCTTCTTCATCCCTTCAATTTTCCTTCCCTTCCTCTACCCTATCCCACTCCTCAAGGACCCGCACTGGAACCAACCCCTGGTCCCAACCTATTTCCCGCCTCCAGAACAGCATGGCGGGCAAGAAGTTGAGGCCACTGTCCCTGGGTGCCCCCCAGCCCCGCCCCCCATCCCAAGACAGCCTGTTACCGCGGAGCCAACAGCTACTGTGGCCTCCATCTGATAAGACTTATCTGCTGCCCCAGGGCAGGCCAGAGCTGGCGTAAGCCCCAGTGGGGCGCTGAGTGCGTGTGCCCCTGACTCCCACCAGCCCTGGTCTGGCCCCAGGGCAGCTGGGCCTGGGTCGTCATGATGTCCCAAGGGTTCTGGTTCAAATCCCACTGAACCTCTCTGAGCCTCACTCTTTTTGTCTGCAAAATGGGTACAGTCACATTCCTCCTTTCCCTATGGGTAGGAAGACTCACAAACATAAGTGCCCAGCGCTCACTTGACCCAACACACAGTAGGGCCTTTACAAACACTCACTGAAAAGCCCAGCAGATTCATGAGTCCATATCTGGTATTTTTGTTTTATCTTGCGCTCAGCCCATATTGTTTGGTTGGACACTAAAGTCCATGGGAGTCCAAGTCAAATATAGGGTCTGAGAATCCATGGGGTGGGCAGGTGGGGTAGAGGTAGGTCCCTACTGCCCAGGAGGTGCCCCAACAGCAGGGGACCCACCCCCTTGCCTGGTCTGCCCCACCTACTGGTGTACCAGCCACTCCCTGGGGAGGAGGGAAGAAGGAGAGGGGAGGGAGGGAGGGAGGGAGGGAGGGAGGGAGGGAAGGAGGAAGGGAGCCTCAAACACCAAGGCCAGCCAGGACATCCCCTAGGATCACACTGAGCTCGCCACATCCCCAAAGCAGCCGAAACCTCTGCACCAACCAGCCCAGGTCAGTCTCAGCACCCCCCACCCCAAAATTCCCAGCAAGGCAAACTCTGGGCCTGCTGCCCCTTACCTCAAGGCTACTCCTCCAGCCTGCTTCAGTTTCCCCAACCTACCATTGGCCCCCAAAGTGTCTACCACCCCTGAATCCCTTGACAATCCAATCCCTGGAGCTTCTCCAGACTACCTTTGTCTTTCCAACCTCCACTCCTACCCTGAACCTGTCTCCCTACCCCTTCTCTCTGCCCTGACTCTCATCTATACCTTCCAAAATATCTATGTTCCCCTGATCCCTTAACTGTCCCTGTACCTCATCTCTGCCCCCTAAAACACGCCTTTATCCTCCAAATCCTATTTCTGCCCCGAATCTGATTTTCACTCACCTGAACTTGTCTCTGTCTCCAAATTCTCCCCCAAAACTCATTCTCCCTCCCCAATTACTTCTGTTCCCCAAGCCCTGTCTGCTCAACATCCTTGCCTCTGGCCTAATTTCTCCCTTTGACCCATCGATCTATCCCGAGGTTGCCAAACCCTAGCTCCATCCTTGTACTCCCACCTCTGCCTCAAACCTTATATTTGTTCCCTGTGACTTCTCTCTGATTCCCCAAAACCATTTCTTTCCCCCAACCCCTTGCCTATGCATCAAAATATCTTTGTCACCCCAAACACCAAGTCTATTCCTCCAAATCTGTTCTGTCACATGAATCCTTTTGTCTGTCTTCCCTAAACCCCATCTTAGCTCCAAAATGCCTCTGTCCACCAGATCTCCTCTGTGGCCCCAAATCTTTTTCTACTCCAATTCTATCGATTCTAAAACTCCTCTTGTGCTCCTATAACCCATCTCTACTCATCAGACACATTTCTGCCACTCCAAACCCATCTCTGACCCCTAAACTTTATCTCTGCTTCAGTAAAACCCTTGGACCCCCACACTTTTCCATGACCCTCAGAATCCATCTCTCACCCCCCAGCTATACTTCCAACTTCTCAACTTTGTCTCTCACTCTCAAACTTTACCCCTGATCCTCACCCTTGTCTCACTGCTTTCACAATCTATTTCTGATCCTAAAATGTGACCTTTCAAGGTTGTCTTGCCCTCAAGCCCCCCCTCCCCGTATCTGCTTTCCAAAACCTCATAGTTATACCCCAAACCTCTCTGACTCTTTAATCCCTATCTAACCCTCAAACCCTCCCAAGACACATCTGCCCTCAGACCCCATCTCTGCTCCCTTTAGTCCTGAGGGACCCTCCCTTGAGGGCTGGAATAGGAACATTCATTACCTGGGGTGAGGGGCTGGGCGAGGGGCTGGGCCGAGGGAGAGTTGAGGGTGCCGGCCTGCTGCCTGCTGCCAGTTGGGGCAGAACTTACTCTAGTGGGGCAGCTGATAAGGAGCTTTCATATTCCCCAGCCTCGAGATAAACTTTATCTCTGTCTGGAGACTGATAACTGGGTGGTGGTGGTGGTGGTGGGGTTGGGCCCCTGCCATGAGAGGGGTGGGCAGACCTGGACCCACCAAGTTGTCAGGTGCAGGGGGCTGCTGGAGAGAGATTATGGGAAGTGAGATGAGGATGAGGGGATAAAGGAACAGTGGTGACAGAGACAAAACGCAGGAGACACATAGAGAAGGGAGGGAGAAACAAAGAGAGAGACAGGGACGAAAAGAAATAGAGAAAAAAAGAACAAGAGACGTTCAGAAAGAGAAAGGAGAAACAGAGGCTCAGAAACAATAAGAGAGAGAGAGAGAGAGCACGAGCGAGCGCACAGGAGAGCAGGCCCAGGAACAGAAACAAAGAGTGAGACAAGAACAGAGAGAAAGAGAAATCGAGAGAGAGGGAGAGAGACTCAAATAGAATTGTGGAGAGACAGACAAGAATGAGAAGGAGGCTGAGATGAGGAGCCAAGACACCCTCCCTGGGGAGGGACCCTGAGGCCTAGGTTGGTTATGAGCACATTCACAGGCCATCTTTTCCCAGCATAACCCCCGACCTTGATCCTGACCCTTAGACGGTCTATACGACGGGTTACATAGGCAGGGCATCTGAAGATGCCCTTCAATTCTATGTCCATCGCTCCATCCTACAGGGAGTGAAACTGAGGCCTTCAGGCTCACAGGGCAGGCCAGGGTCAGGGGTAGGTTTCCTAGATTCTCATCTTGGACTGCGTGCAGCGGGGTGTGGTCAGGGCTATGGGGATAGTAAAACAAATATGGAAATAAGGTCATAGGTCCCAGAGAGAGAGAGAGAGAAAGCAGGGAGGGACAAACGAGCAGAAAGATAGAGTGGGAGAGGTGTAGATATGAGTACAGAGGGAGAAACCAAAAAAAAAAGATATAAAGAGAGCTAAGAGAAACAAAAAGAGATAAAGACCGATGGAGAGAAACAATCACAGAGATAGAGACATGGAAAGACAGAGAAAGGAAGAGGAAAAACACTGGACATTTGGAAAAGCACAGAAGTAGAGAGCAATATATATTATGGTAGCACAGAGACATGGAAAGAAACGCAGAGAGCCGGACTTGAGAAGACAGAGTGTCAGGGAAAACGAGACCCAAGGAGACAGAGATACATACAGGGAAGCACGGTGGCAAAGGGGCATAGACCGAGCCGCCGTCTCACAGGTCTTAGCTTGGCCCTGTCCCTAACTTCTATCTGGCCAATGGGGAAACTGAGGCCTAGGGATGGTTGGGACTGAAGGAGACAGAAAGCAGAACTACGGCCGGCCTCCCCAGGGGAGGGGTAATGGTAAGGGGAACACCTCCCACCTGCCCCTTCTCAGAGGAAGCCAGAGGCCTTTGGGTGATTTCAAAAGTTGGGCGGGGATGGCAGAGATAAGCCGTGGGGGATGCTGACCCCCCCATAGAACAGGGAGGAACTCTATCTGCAGACCCAACTGAGGTGGGGGAGGAGGAGTCAAGCCGGAAACCTTGGGGTTTCTGAGAAAGTCAGAAGGCAAGATGCAGTAGATAGGGATGAAATTGGGGATCACAAGAGGGCGAGCCCCCAGGTCCCAGGGGGTGACCAAGGGGTTCACGGGACTCTGATTCTGCACCCCAGCCTACCCCAGCCCACCCCACCCCACGCAAACTCCTGTAGATGGGGAGGGGAGGGAACATGGGGGCAGGGGGAGAAGAGGAAGTGGAGGAGGAGGGGAGGAGAAAATGAGGAGAGGGGGAAAGAGATGAGCAGAGATGGAGAGGAGAAGAATGAAGCCAAAGGAGGGGAGGAGGAAGGAGGATAGGGAAAGGGACAGGAGGGGAAGAGAAAAGAAGAGGGGAGGAAAGAGGAGTGGAGGAGATGTAGAAGTGGAAAGAGGGAGAGAGGGGAGAGAAGAAAGGGGACACCAGAAGAGAAGGGGACAGGGAGAGAGGACGAGGGGGCAAGGGAAAGGAAGAGTGGAATAAGAGGGGGAAGGAGAGGAGGAAGAAGGAGTGGAAAGAGAAGGAGAGGGGAAAGAGGAGAGGAGAAAGCAGGGAAGTTGAGCGAGAGAAGAGAAAAGAAGAGATGGGAGGGAGGGAGAGGAAAGAGAAGAGAGGGAGGAGGAGGAAAAAGAGAATTAAAGCGAGGGAGGAAGAGGAGGGGAAAGAAGGGAACAGGGTACAGGAGGGAGAGGAAAAGAGAGGGAGGAGATGAAAAGCAAATGGGGCAAGACTGGGAAGGAGAAGAGGATGGGGAGTGAGAGGATAGAGCAGAAGACTACAGAAAGATAAAGGAGTGGGAAGGGAGGAAAGAGAGAAGGGTAGAGGGGAGAAGGGACCTAAGGAGCGGGAAAGGAGGGATATACAGATTGAAGGGATGGAGTATGAAGAGAGAGAAGAAAGGGAAGAGGGGCTATGGAGGAGAGGGGGAGAATTTCTACGTCTGATGACCCCTCCTGTCCTCACAGGTCAAACCTCAGAGGCCCCATGGAGTTCCCAGGCCTGGGGGCCCTGGGGACCTCTGAGCCCCTGCCCCAGTTTGTGGACCCTGCCTTGGTGTCCTCACTACCAGAGTCGGGGGTCTTCTTCCCCTCTGGGCCTGAGGGGTTGGATGCAGCAGCCTCCTCCACTGCTCCAAGCACCGCTTCAGCTACAGCTGCTGCACTGGCTTACTACAGGGATGCTGAGGCCTACAGACACTCCCCAGGTAACTCCATTGTGTGGCTTTCCTGGAACTGGTTCTATGCTGTCGGGGTTGCCATGGAGACCCTTAGCTAGGGGAGAATCCCACAAGGAAGACATCTTGAAAATGGCCAGAAGACTTCACATGGCTGGACTTACCACTTTCCTGGTTAAGTCCAGACCTGAGGATGTCCATGCTCAACACGCCACATTGGGAAGCAGTGTTCGAAGTAGGTAGTGGTGGCCCTAGTTGTTGAGTGGTCCATGGGGCTTCAAACCACAGCAGTTGTCCTTAAAACCCATTTGGAAATGGCTAGAGGTTACTGTAGTGGCCAGAGTGACCAGTGGGGCTCAGGATCCACGAGTCACTCAATGGCCAGCAGCTGTTCTGGCAACCTATGGAAATGTTAGAAAAGTGGCCACCATGTTGCAGCTATTGGGCACCACTGCACCCTGAAAGCAGGATGGTTTTAGACTATTATGTCCTCTTTCTTCCTTCCCATACCCGCTCCTGCTACAGTCTTCCAGGTGTACCCACTGCTCAACTGTATGGAGGGGATCCCGGGGAGCTCACCGTACACCAGCTGGGCCTATGGCAAGACTGGCCTCTACTCTCCCTCAACCGTGTGCCCCACCCGAGAGGACTCCCCTCCCCAGGCCCCGGAAGATCCTGATGGGAAAGGCAGCAGCAGTTTCCTGGAGACCTTAAAGACAGAACGACTGAGTCCAGACCTCTTGACACTGGGGCCTGCACTGCCTTCTTCGATCCCTGTCCCCGGCAGTGCCTATGGGGGTCCTGACTTTCCTAGTAACTTCTTTTCTCCCACTGGAAGCCCCCTCAATCCAGCGGCCTATTCCTCCCCCAAGCTTCGTGGAACCCTGCCCCTGGCCACCTGTGGTGAGGTTCCCAAAGAGGGACAGGGAGGTTGAAGTGGGGGGGCACATCCAAGGCAAAGCTGGGCTGAGCCTGGCTCCCTCTTCCCCTCTGTCCACCTCACCAGAGGCCAGGGAATGTGTGAACTGCGGAGCAACAGCCACTCCACTGTGGCGGCGGGACAGGACAGGTCACTACCTGTGCAACGCCTGTGGCCTCTATCACAAGATGAATGGGCAAAACAGGCCCCTCATTCGGCCCAAGAAGCGTCTGGTAAGACCCCAGGCCTGCCTCCCCTTATCCCCTTATTCAGGCACTGCTGTTCTCACCCTGTGCAGGAAACCCCTGTCCTCACACACTACAAGAACCCACACCCCGCCATCCCTTCCCCATCCATATAGGAACCCAGCTTTGTTCAGAGGTTCCTATCCTCAACCTGCCCTTGGGCTGCAGGCAGGAATCTCGTCCCCTCCCTCCACAGCAGGTTTTACATTTGGCTACACACTGGGATCACCTTGGGGCCCCCCCCTAGATGTGTTGGTTTGATTGGACTGGGTTCCTGCCTGGATATCAGGATTGTTTTTGATTCCCCAAGTGATTCCGATGTCCGCCAAAGTCAAGAATTACTGATGTAGTCTCCAACACAATATGCAAAGCCTTGGGACAGGAGTCCATATCCTGGTCCCACAGAGAACCCACAGTCTAACACCCTGTACAGGAAGCCCTGCCTTCACCCCAACCCCCACCTCTTGTGTCCTCCATGCCCAGTGCCCTGATCCTCACATTCTTGCTTCCCCCAGATTGTCAGCAAACGGGCAGGTACCCAGTGCACCAACTGCCAGACAACCACCACAACGCTGTGGCGGAGAAACGCCAGTGGGGACCCGGTGTGCAATGCCTGTGGCCTCTACTACAAGCTACACCAGGTGTGCCCTGCCTCTTGGAGCCTCCCCGCTCTCCTCCCCATCCTGCTGACCTTCCCTTCCTTCTTCTTTCCCCTTCCTATAGTCTTCCTACCTCCCCTTCTCTCTCTTCTTCACTCCCTTCCCCTCCTATCCCTGTTATTCTCCCTCTTCCTTCCCCTCTCATGCCTCTCTTCACCTTCATCTTCCTCCCTTCCATTCCTTCCTGCTCCCTTCTCTCTCCCCCATTTCTCATCTCGTTCCTCCTCCCCTTCAGCCATCAGCTAGTCCTATGGCTAGAGGCTTCTCCCAGCCTTTCCCCCAGCTTAGGGCCTCGCAAGCTCATGATTCCTTAGGACGACATCTGTGCCACAGCAGGGGTCTGCTCGCTTAGTCCTTGACCCAGTTCCCTAATCTTAAGGAGAGGGGTGGAAAGAGTATCCATGGTGGAGACACAGCGGGAAAAGTATAAAGTTGGGAAACACTCACGGCCTCCCTTTTGGCAGGTGAACCGACCACTGACCATGCGGAAGGACGGTATTCAGACTAGAAACCGCAAGGCATCTGGAAAAGGGAAAAAGAAACGGGGGTCGAATCTGGGAGGTACGGGAGCAGCAGAAGGATCAACCGGTGGCTTCATGGTGGTGGCTGGGGGAGGTGGTAGCGGGAATTGTGGGGAAGTTGCCTCAGGCTTGACATTGGGCCCGCCTGGTACTGCCCATCTCTACCAAGGCCTGGGCCCTGTGGTGCTGTCAGGGCCTGTTAGTCACCTCATGCCTTTCCCGGGGCCCCTGTTGGGCTCACCTACAGGCTCCTTCCCCACAGGCCCCATGCCTCCCACCACTGCCACCACCGTGGTGGCGCCACTCAGCTCATGAGGACACAGAGCATGACCTCAGAGCAAGGGTAGGGTCTTTCTCCTCTTGTAGCCAGCAGTCTATACAACCCAACCCTCTGGGCCCCAGACACTCCTTAGTCTGGACCCTCAAAGCTTTTGTAAAATAAAACCACTAATGTCCTGAAATTGGAAGTGTGAGTCTGTGTGGGACCAAATAAAGAGCTGTGGTAGGTGGGGTGTGTAACAGTGTCTGCAATTCTTTGATGATGGTGTGAGGCTGAGACGGAATGTGCGACCTGGCACTTGTGACCCTTCGAGATAGTGGGTTATGAGGTGCAATTATAACAGTGTATGTGAAAATGTGTGTGACAGCATCCAGGTTGTGTGGCATGTGTATCCACACATGATGGGGAGAGACGATGTGTGGCTGGCTGGCTGACTGCTCTGTGGGGTGCTGATCATGTGGTGAGGTTGTGAGAGACGGTGTGCATGACACCAGGTAACTTCAAAAACACGGCACAGGCGACTGTATGAGAGGATATGGAAGTACGTGCGTGACAGGGTGTGTTGAAAAAACGTGTGAGGTTGTGCTTGTGTGATTGTGCACCATGCAGGGTGGTTTTGAGATGGTGTGACAGCATGTGTACTGGGCACAGAATATGATCAATAAACATGTGTGGAATGCTGGACAAGTACTGTGTATGACAGTGTGCGGGGACATAACTGTGTGACCATGAAGTACTACGTGTGAGGACATCTTGGAGGGTCTGGTAACGGCAGTACTTCTGTGGAAGTCTGTGTCTTTGAGCGTATCACATATCATGTGCCATGTCACAGTGTCTCTGAGTGGCTGACAATGTGAGCAGCTCTATGTACACTTATTTGTGCAGGTATCAATATATAGAGAGTTTTAGTCAGTGTAAGTTAGGGACCCCCTTCCAAGGGACAGTAGACATGTTTAAGACAGGAGTGGGAGGAAAGAGTGAGGCTGGAATGGTAGCCAGCAACAGGGTCAGAAGGCTAGTCCAGGACCTTGGGGTTGTTCATGGGTCTTCCTGTCACTCATCTCTTATCTCTGTGAGCCCTGCTCGGCCTACAGACCCATGGGAAATGGTAGAGAAGCAGACGTGGAGATTAGAAGGACAAAATAGCTTCCGAGGGGAAATTTTTAGACCCCATAGGTTGGGGAGATCCCCACTGTGCCAACTCCCTCCCCGATATACCTGCTCACCTGGGTGAACTGCTCCCTCTAAAGTGGAACCTGTTCTTCCACTGAACAAACCCTCACACAGGTGCTTACACTGAGTCAAGTTACATCCTAATCCAGACAGGTTAAGTGGCTCTCCCAAGGCCACACAGTTGGTGGCACAGGAGTGAGCCAGGTTTCATGGCCTAGCCTCCACACTACCAAGACGCTCCTAACAGCAAGCAGTACCATTTACCGAGTGCTCACTGTGGTTGACAATGGCTGGAAGGCCTCAGTTGCTTTAGTTCATGCACACCTGAAAAAAAATACTCCAAAGAAAGTATACGCATACTCATTAATAAAAAGGTGAGGCTCCGAACTGTGAGTACCTTGCTCTGACCACATTGAGATTCAGGAGTGGATTTAGGATAGGGGCACCCCCCCCAGAGTGATTCTTGCTTATATTCATTTGGGCTGCTTTTCTCTCTTTTTAAAATCATTCACTTCCTGATTTGCTCAGATCTGGATTTGTTTTGGGGCTGCTGCTCTGTACGGCTTCTCCACTCGAGCCCCAGAGACGGAGACTGTAGGACCACGTGTCCTCAGCATAGTGTGGGTGAGCAGCCGTCCTCAATGGAACAGCATCCCTTCAGCTAGTCACCACACTAACCCACTGCAGAATCGCAGTAGTCCATGCTCATCACAGGGACTGTCCAGAACTGCCCTGGATGCTCCAAAGAATTCCAGCCCTCTCACCCTGTAGGAGCCCCTGTCCTTGTACTGAACAGAAACCCCTTTTAGAACCATTGCTGGAAACGTGCTTGGACCCACCTTGTTCAGGAATCCTGGTCCCCAAACCCTATAAAAATGGTAGCCCGAGCTTAGTAGAACAGGAACCTAGCTCTGGAACTCTAAGGAAACCCTGTCTCTAATTATCAACGGAAAACCTAGCCTGACCCTGGACAGGAACACCAGTGCTTACCTTGTGTAGGAGGCACCCCTATCCAGCAGTAGCACAGGAACCTCGGCCTTACCCTGCTTAGGAATCTCTGAACCCACACTGTAAGGAAGCACCTCTACCGCGCCTTGTAAAAACAGCTGTCCTAAACCTCTTCATGGGCCTTGATCTCTCTGTAGGAATCCTGCCTTGACCTTGGACAGGACACCTCTGTCCTCACACTGTACTGGAGCCCTGCCTTCCAAGTAGCATTTTAGAAATACTTCACTCACGATAAAAGCTAGTTTTGAACCACTGACCTGACTCTGTCTACAGAAATCTCTATTTGCAACCTCTTTAGGAACACTGATTGAGTTCAGGAGCCTTGCTTTCATTGTTGACAAGGACCCATGACATCACTGCACAACAATCCCTATCTCACACCCTACACCATAGAGTCCACAGGAACCTGTGACCCAACTTTCAACATGAACCTTGGTCTTGAACTTACATGGAAAATCCTCTCCTGAACCTGTGGCACAGTGCCTGTCCTAGCCCTCTACTTTAAGCCCAGACCTTTTTGTATACAGGAACCGATAACCTCACCTGGCACAGGACCCCCTGCCTAGACACTATACGGGGTTTCCTGTCCTCACCCAGTGTTGGCTCCATGGCCCGGACCCTCTACAGGAAGCCTTGCCTATAACAGTACTGAAACGTATAACCAGGCTGCAGAAAAACTTTCCCTGACTTTCAAAAGAAATCCTTAATTTGACTAGTTTACAGGAACTCCTAACCTTGCCCTCTTGGAAACCCTCTCCTGACACTGTATAGGAAGCCCTGATGTGACTGTCTTGGGCAGCCCTTGCCCAAGCCTTGTTCCAGAAGGCCTACCCTCACCTTTACAGGAATCACCATCCTGACTGTGGCTAGTAACTGTCACATTAAACAGCATAGCGCTGTGGCGTCTGAAGAATCCTGTAGCAGGCATTGCTATAGGCTTTTCAAACCTGTTCCCTTTCTTCCTGAGCTCACTCACTTTTCCAGCCTTCCTTACAATTGGATATGGACATGGGACAGACTTCTGATCAATGAAGTGTGTGCAGAGTGACATACATGACTCCCAGACTTGGCCCATAAAGGCCTCTCATGGAATCCTCCTTCTCTCTCTTTCCCCATCTGCCAGCTGAGTAGTGAGAGCCCCAAGAACTCAGAGGAGAGCAGAGTCACAAAATGGAAGTTGCCTGGGTCCATGAAAAATCAGTAGTAAATATTCGCATTGGATTTGGTGGGGTTTTTAAAAAAAGATTTTATTTATTTTTAGATAGAGGGGAAGGGAGGAAGAGAGGGAGAGAAACATCAATGTGTGGTTGGCGCTTGTGCGCCCCCAACTGGGAACCTGGCCCACAACCCAGGCATGTGCCCTGACTGGGAATTAAACGGGCAACCCTTTGGTGCCCAGTCCAGTGCTCAGTCCACTGAGCCACACCAACCAGGGCTTACATTGGGTTTTGTATGAGCAAGACATAAACATTTCTTTGTTAAACCCCTGAAATTCTGGGTTTGTTTGTTAAAACAGCTAGACTGATTTGGCCCAATTAATAATAATCTTTTGACTGAATCTGAATAGGAATACCTGATTCTACTATCTATACGAACACAGATCTAAACCTGTACAGAAACACTTGTGTTGACCCTGAACTGGACCACCTGATCTCTTTGTAGGAACCTGTCATAATGTAGTCTAAGAAGCCCCATTCCAAACTTGTATGGGAACCCCGACTCTGGAGCTCTCTAAAAACAACTGTCTTGTCCTGCATAGAAACCCCTGCTTGATTCAGTGGAAGAACAACGCTATAGAAACTATAGAAATCCCTATTCTCATTCTGTACAGGGACATTTGCTTGACCTAAGAGAACAACACCAGCAGTGACCAGACCCTGTCCATGAATTGGTCCTCACACCTCACACAAAAGGAATACCTCTCCTCAGGAAGTATGGAACTTCTGCATTTATGCTGTAAAAGGATCCCAGCCAGATAATGAAAACCGAAGGCTGACACTCCATTGCAGGGATCTGCAAACTCTGGCCTTCAGGCCAAAGCCAGACTGCATCCTGTTTTCACATTTTTGAAGGGAAAGAACATACCAGAAGCTGTATGTGGCCTATGAAGCCTGAAACATTTATTCTCTGGTCCTTCATAGAAAATGTTTGCTGACCTCTGCTTTCTTTTGACTATACAGAAAAATGGGCCTTGACTCTTACAAGACTCCCCACTCTATTACTTTTCAGGTACCACAACCCCAGAATGTTCCTCAGTGTGCATCATTATGTTTTCTTTGGCGTATGTGGAGGTGTAAAGGTCTTAGGGCTGCGATGCTCTTCCACTGGGAAAAACGACTTGTTGCAGGGAAAGAGTGGAAGGGAAGAGAAAGCTGATACTAGGGTTTTCAAGCGGGTCAGAGGGCCCAGCTAGTGGGTGGTGGGGCTGTCAATCTGTTTGTTAGTCAGCGATGCTGAACCCCAGACCGCTTATCTTTCCGGTCCCAGCCTACAGCCCTGTAGGAAATGGTGAAGAATGAGAGAGGGAGATAGGACAAACCCGCCTCCTGTGGGGCTATTTAGACGAGGGGTGGGAAGGAGTCCCCACTACAGGGGAAACTCCCCCTTCCCCCTATGCACACACTTGGAAACAGAGGTTACTCAGTGGAGGCTGTCAGGGAGAGCTGCTGCTCAAGAAACACTCCTCTCCCCAAGTCCGTTCTGGCCCTAGGCACTATTTTATCACAATTTTTCAGATGAGGAAACTGGAGCATATAGATGTTCAGTAACTTGTCCAAGGTCACACGACTAAGGCATGTAACCTCAGTTCCTTATCTGCAAAGTAGCCTTACTAATGGGAACTACCTCACAGAATTGTGGCTTACAACAATGTCTGACACATCGTAATACTTGCTATCCTTACAATCATTTGCCCCTAATAAGATTCCTTTGGCCCCAACGTCCATTTTCGCGACAGGATATTAATAGATAACGCTTGGTGAGTGCTCCCTGTGTACCGCCATGTATACAGCAAGAGCAGAGTGGACTTTTTGAATAACCTTTCACAATCCAATATGGAGTCACTGTCAGCCATGACAGTTACTGTCAAGTGGCAATATGCCCAAGACCGAGGTAATGAGGTGTAATGGAATGCCCTTGGGATGGGACTGCAAAACTGCAATTCTGATAAAAACTCCATCTGGACACCGGTATCAGTAGGACCGCCGCCCATTGCGGGCTCTAAGGACTCAAAGCTTCCACCATCACATGCTCTAGCTTGGCTGTATCACGACAGATCACACTCTGAGCCCAGTAGGACTTCCGCTCCCCCAGACCCATGCTATCACTGTAGCTGCCTGGCTTAAGACCAACGCGCCCCTCTCCATCCGCGGAGGCCGTAAGTGATTGCGGCTTGTCGTATGCTTGCTCAGCTCGTTCTATTGCTCTATTGCCTAAGTTCCTCCTTCCTGCATGCAAACCTATTAGCTTATTTATTGGGGAGGTGATATGTGATTACTTTAGAGGACACTCCCTTTCTCATGACACACCTTCGTGAACATTAACTCAGAGAAATCATTACCACGTTTAGCATCATTAGCACTACCATTTGGCCACCACCAGCCATTTTCCAGTTTAACTGAGCACCAACCCACCCGCGCTACGTCATCACCGCACGCCGCGCGGGAAGCCAAGGGAAGGAGAGAAGATATTCTTTCCTAATACCGTCATTTGCTTGCTTGCTTGCTGTCTTGAGTCACTGCACGGCAGTGTTGCCGTGGATCTGGAGGGCTCCTAAGTGACTGGACAAGGACGGAGGGATGGAAGCGAGGGAAACTAGAAAGAAAGCGTCGGCAGTTGGGGGAGGGGCAAACCGGAGCCGAGCTTAGCCTGACGTCGAACAACGGGCTCGAACTTCGCGCAGGCGCAGCACGTTCCGCATCACGTAATGACGTACACACCGAACGTTGCTCACCAGAGGCGCGCGGCGGTGCAACGACATTCTCGGTGTGGGCGGGATCTGGGCGGTTCGTTGAGAGAACTGGCCCAATGGAAAAGTGGGTCTCGTCACAGGCAGCCCCACAGATCGCTGGAAATTGAGCGGTACTAGTTCTGGGCGGAGTTTGAGGAAATGTCTGCACTGCGCCCAGTGAGTGATGCTGAAGGGATTGGTTGGCGTCGACTGAGGGGGCGGGGGCTGGCGGGAGGTGGTTAGAAACTGAAGGGGCTAGGGGATGCGTCAGGGGTAGGGTTTGGGCAGGGGGTGGGGTTTGGTGGAAGGAAAGGGGCCGTCCCCTGAGGAGCGGTGCTTGTTGAAACGTTAGGGGTGGAATCTGGCCTAGTGGAAGGTGCCGGTCCGGCGGATAAGGGGTGGAGTTAAGTGGATCGTTAAGGGTGGAGTCAGGCCTGGGCCGGGGGCTGGGGCTGGCTGAGTGAAAGGGTGGGTAAATATCCGGGAGATTGGGTGGAAAGGGCAAGTCTGTGAAGAGATGGGGTCTGGTGGAGGCTGAGAGGAATGAAAGGATCTAGGAATGAGTCCTGGTAGAAGGGAAGGGGCGGTGATTTGCTGGAAAGATCGGGCCTTAAAATGTCTGGGGGTTAATTGCTCTTTGAAAGGAGTCTAGTGGAGTGGGAGGGGCCAGGTGGAATGGACATTCCAGTGGAGGGAGAGGGCCTGGAGAGAGACGGGCTTTAGAAGGCGGTGGATCATTGGACGGCATAAGGGGCGGGGCCTGAAAAGAGGCTGGGATGTGGGATCCTTAGGGCACCCTAGCCCCTTCAGTCACCTCCACCGCACCCCCCAGAACCGCGTCAGGGGTGAAGTCTCCCCGACCATGACCTCCACCGGCCAGGACTCCACCACAACCAAGCAGCGAAGAAGTAGGCAGAACCCCCAATCGCCCCCGCTTGACTCCAACATCATCTCGGTGAGACCCCAGACCTGTTATGATGAGGGGGAGGGGGAGCAATGGGCCATGCAGTGGACTCTGACCTTTCTCCCTATTTGGCAGAAGCCAGGTGTTAAGGGTGCCGGACTCCGCTCCAGCCCCAAACTAGCGGAGGTAAAGAAGAAAGGCAGAATGAAGAAACTCAGCCAAGCACCAGAGCAAGACCTAATTGTGGGGCTTCAAGGGCTGGTGAGAGAGGCCTGGCCACAATTTAGCCTCCTGCGACAATGAAAATCCTGAGGTTCTCCATCCTGGACAGCATGGGTTGTTACCTCTGACTCAGGCCCTAAATGGATCAGTGTCTCCCATTTTTTTCCCTGCAGGATCTGAATCTTGAGGCCAAGACACTGCCTGGTACTGGCTTGGTGTTCGATGAGCAGCTAAATGATTTCCACTGCCTCTGGGATGACAGGTGAGCCTGACTCCACCAAGCTGTCTCTGAACCACACAAATATGCACACTTAGAGCCATTAGGAAGAACAGATCCTTTCTTGTACTAGCCTAGACACTGGAAGCAGAAAACTTAGGAAGATGGGGCTCAGGCTTGAAAGGGTTCTTATCATTTAGCCGGAAAACATTTATTGAGTGCCTACTGTGCGATGGGAGTTGGTGATACAAATGTGTTGGACAAGACAGGGTCCCTTCTCAAGGAGCTGATAGGTGAGTAGGAGAGCAGATCATTAAACAGCCAACAGCAGTGTGAAGTGGTTAGTGTAAGAGGACTTAAGACCAGTGGCTTTAAGAGTGTTTAATAGAGGACCCTGGACCAGCATCCAGTGTTCCCAGAAGGTGTCCTTGAAGAAGGGACATTTGTGCTGAAACAGAATTATACCTCCCATTTGCTCACACATGTTGTAATCAATCAGCAAATTCTTTTGGCTCTATTTTAAATGTATTCAGTATCTGACCTATTCTGGCCTTCACTGCCACCACTATCCATTACTCACTTATACTTGCAGAGGTTCCTTTCCTTGTCTCCTGTGTGTTCACTCTTACCCTGCTGTCTGTGGTCTACATAGCAGCCTAAAACCATGTTCAAGACTGTTCTCTTTCTTAAAATCTTTCAAGGGCAGACCACTGCCCTCAAGGTAAAGTTCAAATTCTTCATCTTAGAGTCTTAGTTCCACGTGATCTTGCCCCACATCACCTTGGTGACCTCATCAGCCAATCTTCCCCCTCATTCACTTCATTTCACTTCACCCACACTGGTCCTTTTGCTGTTCTTTCAACATTCCTGATACTCCCTTATGTCCGGCCTTTGCCCTGGCTGATTCCTCTTCTATAGATTTGTTTCCACCTTCTCTCAGTTAACATTCATGCCTCAAGGACACTTTTTCAGAGAGGGCCATGCCTGGCCACTCCCCTCCCTCCCCCACCTGATACTTGAGGTCTTCCTAGTCTGGTTATTGTTTGCTCGTTATTATACTTATGTTTTTACCAATTCAGAATCAATCTTCTCTATCCCAATGGAAGACTCGGGATGGCAAAATATTTTATTACTGAATACAGATCTACCATCCCTTGAGGAGCTAGGGACATGGCAGCAGACAGAACAAACAAACCCTTGTCTTTGTGGAGATTACATTTTCAAGGGGGAAAATAGACAGTAAACAAAATGTAAGTGATACAGTGTGTTACAAACAAGTGCTGCAGAGCAACACTGAAGCGGAGGAGGGATGGAGAATAGCAGAAAGAACACTGGAAGGGACTCTTCAGTTTTGAGTAGGATGGTCGGGGATGGCCTTGCTGATATTTGAGCAGGCATCTGAAGGAGGTGAGGGAGTGAGCCGTGAAGATACAGGGAACAGAGTGTCCTAGGCAGGAAGGAGAGCTAGCTGAAAAGTACTTGGTTTGATGAGATGAGAGCCATGTGAAGGTTTTGAGTTTTAGGTGGGACGTGATCCGATTTGGATTTTTTAAAAAGATTTTTTTTATTTATTTGTAGAGATGGGGGAGGGAGGGAGAAACAGTGAGAAAAAACATCAATTGGTTGCCTCTCACATGTGCCCCAACTGGGACCAAACCCACAATCTGGGTATGTGCCCTGAACTGAGAATCGAACCAGCAACCTTTTGCTTTGTAGAATGATGCCCAACCAACTGAGCCATACCAATCAGGGCCTGATTTGGATTTTAACCAATGTCTGGCTACTGTGTGACTAAAGGACTTTTGGAGGAATGAGGGTAGAAGTTGGAAGGCCAGGGAGGAGGTGACTGCAGTAGCCCGGGTGGTAGATTTATGGTAGCAGTAGTGGAGGTGATAAGGAGAGGGTCAGGCTTTGGATATATTGTGAGAACAGAACTAATCGGCATCAGGGATGACTTTGAAGCTTCTGGTACAAGCAGCTGTACAAGGGTGACTGGAGATGTGCAGGACCAGATTTGCTGCTCACCTGTATCCCTGTATGTATCTACGTGTGCATGTGACTATATCTCTTTATCAACCCAGCTTCCCTGAAGGCCCAGAACGGCTCCATGCCATCAAGGAGCAGCTAATCCGGGAGGGCCTCCTGGACCGCTGTGTGTCCTTTCAGGTGAGTTCCCCAGCTGGCATCTTGGGTAGAGAACAGAAGCTGACAGAACTTGGGTGTGGCCAGCACCTTAGCCCTTTGTTCCTTGTGTCTCCCCAGGCCCGATTTGCTGAAAAGGAGGAGCTGATGTTGGTTCACAGGTAAAGGCTTGGTAACCTTATAGGGATGGGGAGGAGGCTACCCTGGGCCCACCAGGGCAGACCGGATGCTTTGCGGTAGAATGCCGTGGGCTCTGTGACCATTGGCAAATTGCCGAGCCTCATTGAATCTCAGTGTCATCGCTTGTAATGGGGACTAGTAAATAAATGTTCTTCAGGAGGGTTTGATATATGTTGAGTACTTAGAGTGATGCCTGACATAGCATCAGCTCGCTGAGCTATTGTTGTTATAATGTGGTATGTTAGCAACGGGAGGATGTATGGACAGAGTGATCAGGGTGTTCCCCAGGGTGCTATAGGAACCCAGAATGAGGGGCCTGGTGTGGTGTGGCCCAAGTAAAGTAGCTTGGCAGAGGGGGGATCTAAGCTGAACTTTAAGGGAGAAAAGTGAGTCAGATGAAGAGGAGGGCTCAGGGAGGGTGGGTACAGATAGCTGGAACTTTCTGGCCAAAGGCCTGGCAATAGGATTTGGTGTGGCTAGAGGAGAAGGCAAGGGATATTAGTGGAAATGAGGTGGGCTAGTGAAGAAGCAGGAAATGTGGCCTATATCTCAGTGTTCTCCCAGAATGACAATTGAGGAGGTTGACTTGTCCAGGAGTGTGGTACTTGGAAGGCTTAGCTGTGGAGGAGTCAGGGCCAAGGAGGGAGGCAGTCCCCTGAATTTCATCCTCTGTCTGTGTCCCCAGCCTAGAATACATTGATCTGATGGAGACGACCCAGGACATGAGTGAGGGAGAACTCCGCGTCCTAGCGGACACCTATGACTCAGTTTATTTGCATCCGGTATGGATAAGAACTGTGAGGGCAGAGGGTGATAGCATTCCTGGGGATGCCCACCCCATAGCTACCCCACCCTGGGGGAAATAGCTGAGTGGACAGGGCTGCTCTCTCCCTCACTCCCTCTCTGGCTCCCCACTGTCTCTCCAGAACTCATACACCTGTGCCTGCCTGGCTTCAGGCTCTGTCCTCAGGCTGGTGGATGCGGTCCTGGGGGCCGAGATCCGGAATGGCATGGCCATCATCAGGTAGGACCTGCTAGCGTTTGGTTTTCTATATTTTAAAAAATTTCTTCCCTCAAATGTAAAATGTATTGGTAATGGGTAGTGTATGTACATGCTTAAGGTATAAAAGGGGATACAAGGAAAAGTCTCCCTACCGCGCCCATCCCCCAGACCCCTGCTTCCTCTCCTGGAGGTAGTCCCTGTAACCAGTAACTCCTATGTCCTCCAGAAATAGTCTGTGCCTATTCATGGAGTACATAACCATATTTCGTTGATTCTAAAATGCATATTTTTCACATTGGTAACATCTTGAAATTCAGATACATCTTATAAACAGTGACATCTCAGAATTCAGTTGGCGGCATTTTCTGCTTTGTTGTTGGCATGTAAAGTCACAGTACATCTCATCATTGTTGGCATTCCACAACTGATGAAGTGCAGAAAATACAGCCTTTCTCCTCCCTCCCCTATTTTAGGGGAGCACTCCAGCATTCAGGAAGCTCCCTTCCATAACACGCATTTTCCACTTAAACATCTTGGAAAGCTGTTCTCTAACAGTGTAGAGCTTAGACCCATGTAGAACACCGCTGTGCACGTGTACAGTGAGTTAACCAACCCTACTGTTGGGCATTTCGGCTCTCCCCAGTCATTTAATGTTTCCAAAAAAGGCAAATATTGTTGTCCATTTATAAACATGTTATTTTACCCTTTTTGGCACATAGGCTGTGGGTTAAGTCCCCAGGTGCATAGTGACTGGGTGTGAGGGTGTACGCATTGATAACTTTAAGGAACATCATCAAGTTTCCTTCAAAGAGAGAGCAGTAGACTGGGGGTGAGAGTCCAAGGGCCCCAGTTACTCACCTCCTGACAGACTGGCAGGCATCAGCACTGGTGGAATTGGTGGTCCAGGATTAGAGAGCAAGGGAGTCCGTATCTGCAGAGGAAGAATCCCCAATCTGTGGCTTTCCCTGTCCTACCCAGACCTCCTGGACACCATGCCCAGCACAGTCTTATGGATGGATATTGCATGTTCAACCATGTGGCCGTGGCTGCTCGCTACGCTCAAGTGAAGCACCGCATTCAGAGGTCAGCAGCAAGCAGCAGGGCAGGTGTGATGGGGGTGGCACAGGCTGGTGCAGCCTGGTCTGGGCACTTCCCCAGATGTACCTGGATCCTCTTGTACAGTGCCCCCTTTTCTTCCCCTCACAGAGTCCTTATTGTGGATTGGGATGTGCACCATGGTCAAGGAACACAGTTCACTTTTGACCAGGACCCCAGGTATGCCCCAAGTATCACTCCGGATGCTAGAGGCCCAGTTAGAAGGGGCCCAGGAGGGAAAGGAAGGCATTTGCATTCATTGGGCATCCCTGGGGCTGGGTTCTGTGCTGCTGTCTCTGAGTCTGCTTTCTTAATTTCACTCTGAGGCAGGAACTGTTGAGTTCCCCATTTTACAGATGGAGGAACCAATGCTTACAGGTTATAAAGTCACACAGAGAAGAATGGGAAGAGATGAGATTTGTGCCCACAAATATTTGGAGATCTTGTTCACCAATTTACCCTGGAGCTGGAGTGAACCTCAAATTACTACTTTATTTTTTCTAATTATGATTACTATAAATTATTTATTTAAAAATGAAATAATACAAAAATATCAGTAGCCGTGAATCTCCTGTAATTCCCATTACCTCAAAAATAACTGTTGAGCCCTGACTGGTATGGTTCAGTGGGTTGGACATCATCATGCAAACCTAAAAGTCTCAGGTTTGATTCTGGGTCAGGGCACATGCTTGGATTGTGGGCTGGGTCCCTGGTTGGGGGCGGTTGGTGGTGGTTGGGGGCATTTCAGAGGCAACCAATCAATGTTTCTCTTCCTCTCTCTGTCCCTCCCTTTCCCTCTGTCTAAAAATAAATAAATAGGCCTGGCTGGGTGGCTCAGTGGATTTGAGTGCTGGCCTGTGAACCAAAGGGTCACAGGCTTGATTCCCAGTCAGGGCATATGCCTGGGTTGTGAGCCAGGTCCCTGGTAGGGGAAGTGCGAGAGGCAGCCACACATCAATGTCTCTCTCCTTCTTTTTCTCCCTCCCTTCCCCTCTGCCTAAAAACAAACAAACAAACAAACAAATAAATAAAATCTTTTTAAAAATTAAAATAAACAAATAAAAATCTAAAAAAAAAACCTGTTGAGCCCTGGCTAGTATGGCTCAGTGGTTGGAGCATTGTTCCCATACACTAAAAGGTTGAGGGTTTATTTCTCGGTCAGAGCAAATGCCTAGGTCATGGGTTCAATCCCTGGTTGGGGCACCTACAAGAAGCAACCAGTAGATGTTTCTCTTTCTCTCTCTCTCTTCCCCCTCCCTTCCTCCCTCCCTCCCTCACCCCTCCCCCTCTCTGCCCCCCTTCCTCTCTAAAATCGATGAATATATCCTCGGGGGAGGATTAAAAAAGTAAAATAACTTTTGATAGTTTAGGTTATATCCTTACAGAATTTTTCCTATAGATGTGTAAATATTCATTATCATTATTAATACACTGCCTAAGGGGATAATCCTCTACATGATCTTTGGCAACTTTTTTGCATTTAACATCATGTGGTAGGCACTGCTTCATGTTAGTGCCTCTAAAAAGTACCTTCTTGCCCTGGCTGGTGTAGCTCAGTGGGTTGAGCGCGGGCCTGCTAACCAAACAACCAAAGTTCGATTCCCAGTCAGGGCACATGCCTGGATTGCAGGCCAGTTCCCAGCAGAGGACGCACGAGAGGCAACCATACATTGATATTTCTCTCCCTCTCTCCTTCCCTTCCCCTCTAAAGATAAATAAATAAAATCTTTTAAAAAAATAAAAAGTAACTTCTTCAGGGCAGGAGGTGAGTGGAAGTGGAAGAGGGTATAGGAGGGATAACTGATAATGGGGAAAAATAATAAAAATCAATAATAAATACCTCCTTCTTTACAAGGGTATACAGTGTTCCCTTGTGTGGGTGTACCTCTGGTCATTTAACTCCGGGACATTTACGGTGCTTCCCAGTTTTTGCTTTTACAGACAGTTCTACACTGAATCGTCTGGTAAATATATAATTTTACACTTGTAGTGTATCTATAGGATGAATTTCCAGTCATGGGTTACTGGGTCAGGGGGTTAGCATGCTTCAAAGCCTGGGACCTACTGCCAAATTTTCCTCCAGAAAGGACACCAGCTTACCCTTCCAGCAGAAAATAATTGAGCTAATCCTTCTCAGGAAGGGACACTGCTAAGTAGTTGTGGATCCAGCCTTCTGTCAAACAGACTGCGGAGGATCCACTTCTTTGTGTAGATCCTGAGCTCCCACAGCCCACCGTCTAATCTAGGTTGGCTGTTCTCTAGACATTGTTTTATTATTTTCTAGCATTCAGTGATGCCGACAGATGTCCGGTGTCAGCCTGATTTTCATTCCCTTCCGCGTAATCTATTTGGTATAAAATGATCATTTATCCATGCCCTTGAGTCTCCCTGCATCTCAGTGTCTTAACTCCAGCAGCAAAGTGCTGGGGTGGAGACAAGTTGGACACTCCTTAAAAGACTATTGTGAAGGCAAGGAAAACAGCACAATTAAAGCTCAGTAGTTAAAAGAAGCAAGTAAGTTCAGTGAATTGCTCATTAGGTGAGTTGGTTATTCAGGACTGATTCTGTATACAATGACCTGGAACTGTGCTTGATTTCTCCAGAAGGGCAACCCCAGGTCATCCCCTTCGGCCCTTGGAGCCTCCAAGTACTTTTCAGGGACTTGCTAAACTTTCTTGTCTGAATCCTTCCCCCACCCCTGTTCTGTTTTTCCAGGTGGATAACTTGTTTAACATTCCTTTAATGCAGTGATGTCAAATGCATTTTCACCAGGGGCCATATCAGCCTCGCAGTTGCCTTCAAAGGGCCAAATGTAATTTTAAGACTATATAAATGTAACTACTCCTTAACTAGGGGCAAGGGGCAAGGAGCTTGGCACTGCCGCCGAGTAGAAATAAGGTTCCGGGCTGGATAAAATGAGGTGGAGGGCCAGATTTGGCCCATGGGCCTTGTGTTTGCCACCTGTGTTTTAATGTCTTTTGACTAGGATTATAGGAAAGGGAGGAGGTAAACCTATGCTATCAGTCTACCGTTCCTTCACTGGAAATCAGTTGACCTTAATTTTAAAATCTTTTGTTTGCTTTATAAGTTTAGTTTCCTGGGTGTTAGTTCTGTTGATTCTGGTGGGTCTCTTGTGGGGTTGGCTTTCTTCAAATCTTTTCTTTAGTTCTTTCTTCTTGCTGATAATAATCTTTATATTCTATGGTATAGTTTTCCTTAAGTTTAGAACTGGTTTTTATATATCAGAGTTAAAAAAATCATCCCCCACCTACTCAATACTAGAGCTTTCATATGAGTTTCATTCCCCAATTACAAGGTATTTTTCTTCAGTTTCAACACTTTATACCAATTTTATTAAATTTCATAACCACGTTATTAACATTTATTAAGACAGGATTGTCACCCTGGCTGGTATAGCTCAGTGGATTGAGCGCAGGCCTGCCAACCAAACAACCATGGTTTGATTCCCAGTCGGGGCACATGCCTGGGTTGCAGGCTAGTTCCCAGCAGGGAATGCACAAGAGGCAACCACACATTGATATTTCTCTTCCTCACTCCTTCCCTCCCCCCTCTAAAGATAAATAAAATGTTAAAAAAATATTAAAAAAAACAAAACAGGATTGCCGAGTTTGTCTAGATTCATTGCTTACCACTATTTCTTGCATCCCCGCCCCCCCCCCCCAAAAAAAAAAGAAAAGAAAATCTGCCTTAAATCCTTACTGGAATAGGGCAGGGAACACCAAACGGATGGATGGATAAATGAGAGATCATGCATTTGGATTGCCTCAATCAGCATTAAGCCCTCCCATAACCCAACTGCTAGGCTTTCTGGACCACTGTGTCTTTTCAACATGTGTCTGTCAGTCCCCTCACTGCTCCGAGTGTTCTGTTTCTCACCACGTAGCCTATGCAGTAAAAGAAGTAGTAGAGGTGGCCTACGAGGTATTGGAAAGAAGGAATTACCCCTCATTGGCTTCCTGCAGCCCCAGCTATCACCCCTATTCCAGTTCTGCACGCAGAACCAACTCCTAACCTAATTTCTGAGTCTCCCACTTCCTTCAGAAGACGCACTGAGCTCCCTAGCCCAGCCCACTGCTCTTGGACGCCTCAGCTGGCTCCCACCAACTTAAAGCTCCATGTGCGCTATGGGCCTCCCGGAGTCACAGGGTTTGGCCTGCTGTTACCACCTTGGTCACAGGGGCAGGTGGGGTGGGTGGGTGGGCATGATCTAGAGTCCCCACGGACGCAGGGGTCCTTGGGGGCTGAGAGACACCCACTAGCTCTCAGGGTCTCCGAGCTAGTCTGAGTGGGCAGCAACATTTGCTGAGGGAGGAGTTCCCAGTAAGAGATGAAACAAATGGGTGGATGAAGTAATGGGTACGTAAACTGCAAGAATGAATAAATGTATGAATTCAAGATTTCATGAGGAAAATAATGAGAATGAATGAATGGCTGAGGAAAACTGGTAACTGCGGGTTGGGGGTATCTGTGGGATTGACTCCTTAACAGCCCCCCAGCTCCCCGATCTCTTGTTTTCTCTGCCCTCAGTGTACTCTATTTTTCCATCCATCGCTATGAGCAGGGTCGGTTCTGGCCCCACCTGAAGGCCTCTAATTGGTCCACCATAGGTTTTGGCCAAGGCCAGGGATATACCATCAATGTGCCTTGGAACCAGGTCAGTGTCTGCCCACCATTTGCCCCAAGAGTGAAGCTCACCCATGCCCTTCAGTGCCCGTGCCTTGAGGCAGAGGGCAGAATGCCCCCATCTCACCATTGAGGTCTGTTCGCAGGTGGGGATGCGAGATGCCGACTATATTGCTGCTTTCCTGCGAGTCCTGCTGCCCGTCGCCCTTGAGGTCCTGGGGGTCTGGGATATGTTGGGGCAGGGGTGACAGTGAGGAGTGGGCCATGAGGACAAGTGGCCTCATGTAGTCCTTTCTTCCCTCAGTTCCAGCCCCAGCTGGTCCTGGTGGCCGCTGGATTTGATGCCCTCCAAGGAGACCCCAAGGTAAGGCAGGCTCCCTGGGATGGCAGGTAGGCAGAAGGGGGTAAGTGGAGGCAGGCTGACCCTCCATGTCCCCCCCAGGGTGAGATGGCTGCCACTCCAGCAGGGTTTGCCCAGCTAACCCACCTGCTCATGGGTCTGGCAGGAGGCAGGCTGATCCTGTCTCTGGAGGTGAGTAACTCCCTTCATCTCTGAGCCCATGAATCCTAGAGAGCATAAGAACAAGGCTTCCAAGTCCAGCAGGAGTTCCCGTCCCAGCGTTTCCGCTTCCTAACTGGACAGCCTCACCTAAATCAATGAACTTCCTTGGACCTCTGCTTTTTTATGTAAATCAGGCACAATACTAGTAGTAATCATGTCACAGCACTGTTTAGTGAGCGAAATGAAGTCACCCTCTAAATTCCTTGTTGCCTGACATGCAGTCAGAACCCCAGTGCTAATATTACTCTACTCTTCCCCGGTAACATCTGGTTCTTTCCTAACCCCCCTATCCCTATTCTCTCAGGGTGGCTACAACCTTCGCTCCCTGGCTGAGGGCGTCAGCGCCTCACTCCACACTCTTCTGGGTGACCCTTGCCCCATGCTGGAGTCCCCTGGTGCCCCCTGTGCAAGGTGAGCCCAGGTGGTGTAGGGGAAAGGTGGGACCCTCACTGCCCACCTGGGGGCCGTTTGGTCACGTTTCCGCCTCCCCTGCCATCCAGTGCCCTGTCATCATTGTCCTGTACTCTGGAAGCCCTGGAGCCCTTCTGGGAGACGCTTATGAGATCAGGTAGGAGGCAAGGAGTAGACTTAGTGGGAGGTGAGGCATGGCATGAACCATGTGGGGAGACTCTTCTAGAACCCGCTCTGATTTTCCTGGGCTGCCTTTCTGGGGGATGGTCAGACCCTCTCTCACTGTGCCCTGGTTTCAGACCTCCTACCTCTTTTTGTTTGGGTAAACAAAGTTTCTAGAGTATTACAGTGCTCCAGAGGGGGAGAGTAGGGTGAATGTGGTTTCCCCTTACAGATGGCACCCTGGAGGGGGACCATGCGGAGGGGTCCAGCGTGGAGGAGGAAGAGGAAGGACCATGGCCACCCCAAGCTCTCCCAATTCTGATGTGGCCGGTGTTGCAGGCTCGCACAGGGCTGGTCTATGACCAGCGAATGATGGATCACTATAACTTGTGGGACAAGTATGTGTTTGGAGAGCTGGGCTAAGTGGGCAGGGGTTCCTCCCTGTCCTCAAGCACTAAGCCCTGCCTCTGTCCCCCACCTCCCAGCCACCACCCCGAGATGCCCCAGCGTGTCTCCCGGATCATGTGTCGTCTGGAGGAGCTGGGCCTTGCCGGGCGCTGTCTCATCCTGCCTGCACGCCCTGCCACAGACGCTGAGCTGCTCACCTGCCACAGGTCAGACCCTTGTGCCTGGGGGTGGCATGGGGCCTCGGTGCATACATGCCACCTGGAGGCTGGAGTCTGGGTACACTGAGCTGCAGGGGGTCATGGGAGGGACCGTGGATGGGACAGAACCACCTGACTCTCCTTGGTGCCCCCTCTCTGCCTCCAGTGCTGAGTATGTGGGCCGTGTACGGGCCACAGAGAAAATGAAAACCCGTGAGCTGCACCGCGAGAGCTCCAACTTTGAGTCCATCTACATCTGTCCCAGCACCTTTGCCTGCGCACAGCTGGCCACTGGTGCCGCATGCTGTCTTGTGGAGGCTGTGCTGGCGGGAGAGGTATGGCTATTTCGGGTGGGGTTCTGGCTCAGATAGGCAGTCCTGGGGGATACAGAGAGGCTGCTCTGAGAAAATTGGGCAGGGCCCGAGGAAACGGGGATGGGGAGGAGATCCCTGCTCACCAGAGGCCTTGCTCACTGGAAAGTGCAGCCATGGGGATGGGGCTGCAGGGCTGGGCTCCCCTAGCAGCTGGTAGTGGAAGGGTGGGCAAGAGAGGACAGGAAAGGCAAGGGGACAAGGAGAAGGAAAGCAGTGGGCACAGTGGTTTGATCTCGGCCCCTTATTCCTCCCCCAGGTTTTGAATGGTGTTGCTGTGGTGCGTCCTCCCGGCCACCACGCAGAGCAGGATGCTGCTTGTGGTTTCTGCTTTTTCAACTCTGTGGCTGTGGCTGCTCGCCATGCCCAGGCCATCAGTGGGCACGCACTGCGGTGAGGGCTCCCTGTGCCTCCCCAGCTCAGTGCTTACTCAGCAGGCCTCATGGTACAGCCCCCCCAGGACTCACCCAAAAACACTCAAGTGTCCAGATGCCCAGCACTTTCCAAAAAAGGACTGAGGGTCTAGCCTCTCAGTGCTTACTTGGAGAGGACCCCCAAGACTGTGGTTCCCAGGTGTTTATGAAAGAGGATCCAGGGTCCTCCCTCCCCCAGCATTTTGGCCCCTGATGACTATCCTGATAGAACCCTGGGTCCAGGCCCCCAGTGCTTACCCTCACAGGGCCCTGGGCTAGCCCTGACAGAGTGCTTGTTCAGGATCCAGGGTCGGTTGTCACCCTTACTTTCATAGGACCCAAAAGTTTGCCACCCAACCCTACCCCCAGGGACCCAGGATGGGGCCACCCACAATACATGCCCCTGCAGACAGGCCCAAGGGGTCTGGCCCCGCCTTCTCCCCAGGGCCAGTGTCCTGGGAAACTGAGAGGCTGTCCCTCCCCAGGGTCCTGATTGTGGACTGGGATGTGCATCACGGTAACGGAACTCAGCACATATTTGAGGAGGACCCCAGGTGAGGGGCTGGGGCAGGGGTGGAGCGCCGCCAGGGAGGTGGGTGGGCCATGCTTCAGGGGTGCCAGGCTACTAACCGGGCATGGCGCCCCTCCCCACCCTGTCTCTGGCAGCGTGCTCTACATTTCCCTGCACCGCTATGATCATGGCACCTTCTTTCCCATGGGGGATAAGGGCGCCAGCAGCCAGGTGGGCCGGTCTGCGGGCACGGGCTTTACCGTCAATGTGGCATGGAATGGGCCTCGCGTGGGTGACTCCGAGTACCTGGCTGCTTGGCATCGTCTGGTGCTCCCCATTGCCTATGAGGTATGCTCCAGGCTGTATGTGACACAGCTGTGTGGATAGCCGTGAAGACACATGTGTCTGACTTCTGGGTGACTGATCCTGTGAGACTGGTGGCAGTGGGTGGGGGAGTGACTCTGTGATGATCTTTGCGTAGGTGACTGCCGTCTCTGTGAGCAACTGTGAGAGACTTCTGGGTGTGCGAGGGTAGTGTTTGTATTCCTGGCTGTGTGTGTCCTGTGCGTACACTATCACCAGTGTCTGTCTGTATGTGGTGGTGGCCCCATGTGACTGCCATCTCAGTGGAGCTACGTGCAAGGCGGGGAGGGGTTTGAGTATGTGTGTGAGACTCTGCATGGGTGGCTCTTTCTACTGCTATTTGTCTGTGATGGGCGTGCTTTCTGTGACAGACAGTGTGTCTTTCTGCATGTGGCAGGCTGTGTGTGACAGTCATCTTTCTGTCTCTCTGTTGGGGCTGTCTGGTGTGTCTCTGACTGGAGGCGGCCTGTATATATTTGTGTGACTCTGAATGAAGGGTATAGGTAACCACCTTCTCCCTGTGTAAACTGCGTGTGTCTGTGGCAGGTTGCACGTGTGTGACTAAGTCAGAAGGCAGACCAGAGTGCCATCTCTGACCTCCATGCAGCCATGCAAGTTAAGATGGTACATGTGTCTGATGATGCACAGTGGCCGTGACTACCTTACATGCGTGTAACTATGAAATCATGTGTGTGACTGGGTGTAAGTGGCTACCCGTGGATGCAACGGTTGTTGTAGACTGTTGTAACTGGATAGTGATGGCACGTGTATGATTGTGTCTGTGCAGGAGTGACTGGATTACTGTCCCCTCCATGAGAAACTGTGCATGACTAGTACGAGGTGTAGTTCGGTCTATATGAGGCTGTCTGATTGTATGTGAGTATATGTGGCTGTATGTGACCACCTTCTGTGTGTGGCACTTGAATTGTCATTTTCTGTAATGGAAGTATGCCTGCACCTCTCTTTCGCACCATGTGTATAAAAGTTCGTGTCTTTTGTGCATGTCGCATGTTGGACCCAGGAGGGGAGCATGTACCTCTTGATCTCACCCTTGGGCATGTGTGTGAGAACATATCTGGCTCTCTGTGTCTCACGTCACCATTTCTTGTTGGCTGAGTCTCCACACCTCAGGACTCTGCCTCACGTCCCCATCTGTCCTTTCCTAGTGTTTCATGTCTCTAAATCTGTGTCTGATGTGTCCACGACTGTCTATCTTTCTCCATGTCTCTGTCCTGTGTCTCCACACCCTCCCCTTCCTAGTTTCAGGGCTCCGGTCCCGTGTCTCCCAGCCTCCAAGTCCCGTGTCTCCGTCTCTCCAACTCGTGTCTCATGTCTCTGGGTCTGCCTCACCTGCTATCTACCCAAGCCCCCAGCCTCATGCCCACGCCTTTCTTCTCTCCCTGCCTCAGTTTAACCCGGAACTGGTATTGGTCTCGGCTGGCTTTGATGCCGCATGGAGAGACCCGCTGGGGGGCTGCCAGCTGTCACCTGAGGGCTATGCCCACCTCACCCACCTGCTGATGGGCCTTGCCGGTGGCCGCATTATCCTAATCCTAGAGGTAACTTTCTCAGTCCCCCTTTCCATGGCGAGGGGTGGTTTGGAAGACTCGGGAGTCCTGCCCTTTCTGCTGACTGGCTACAACACTGGGGGCAACTTCCTAAAATCTCCTTTGAGTGCCCCCACGTGGAATTATTGGCATGTAGTGGGCATTGATAGCAACACCAGCATCAACAACTTGCATTGAGCACTCATTCTTCTGACACTTTATATGTACTATTAATTCATTAAGAAAACAGCCTTCTGAGGTGGGGTCTGCTAACCTCATCATTTTCCTCTCTCTAAATAGGGAAACTGAGGCCCAGGGGGATACAGTGACTAGCCAGAGGCCACACATTTAATAAGGGCAGAGCCAGGGCTTGAATCCAAGCAGCTTGACTCTGGAGCCTATGCTTTTTACCACTACTTGAACTACCTCTGTCAAGTTCCTCAGATGAGTAAATTCAGTGACCTTTTATAAATTACTCAGTGTCCCTGCCTGCTGGGCCTCAGTTTCCTGGATCGTGGAAGAGTGCCTGGCACCATGGAAGTGCTGTAGCTTATTATTATGCACTGTTCGTACTCTAGTTTAATCCTGTCGGCAGTCTCATGGGCTTGTTTTCGCTACTTTACAAATAGGACTGTAAATCGCAGAGAGGTTAATGGGCTAGTAGAAGGTCTCACAGCGTGCCCAGACCGACCGCGTGTGGCAGGGCGGGGTAGTGGTTAAGAACATGGACTCTCATCAGATAGCCCAGGTTCCAAGCCCAGCGCTGCCTTTTGCCAACCATTCTGAGCTAGACAAATTATCTAAGCACTCTGAGCCTCAGTGTATTTATTTGTAAAGAGAGCAGAGACTGGGTTTTCTATAGAGTGTGAGAAAAAGGGGTTCCCATAGCAGGTCAGGACAGGGGTTCATGTGGAGAGAATGACCTTTGCTCCTCTACTAGTAGGGGCCGGGGCTTCCCTGCGGGTGCAGCCACGGGTTCCCGTACTGTAAAGACAGGTTCCTGTGCAGATTAAGGACATGTGGCTTGAGGCTTGATTTAATATACATAAGGTCCTTAGAATACGGCCTGGCATACAGCAAGCACTTAATGAGCAACAGCTATTAGTAACGTTGCTATCAGAAGCATTATTGTGGTTATTATTATCTTTCACTGTACGTCACAGTTTCTCCCCCTCAATAACCAGTGGGACTGACTGATGTGGATTCCATTCACTTGTCCCCAGTTGCCACCCTCCAGACTTGTAGGGCCCTGAGGCAGGACTGGGCAGTAGGACATCTTGCCTCCCAAATTCCCTGAGGATACTCCATCATACTTTTCACTCTCTTTTTTCTTAAAAAGGGTGGCTATAACCTGACATCCATTTCGGACTCCATGGCTGCCTGTACTCGCACCCTCCTTGGGGACCCGCCACCCCTGCTGACCCTGTCACGGCCCCCACTATCAGGGGCCCTGGCCTCTATCACTGAGACCATCCAAGTCCATCGCAGATACTGGCGCAGCTTGCGGGCCACAAGTGAGTGGTTATGGGGAATTGGGGACGATGGGAGGCTCAGGGAAGGGCAGGGAATAGAAGCAGGAGTGGGCGTAGCACCTATACCCAAGGATCTCCCTCCCATGGTTCCAGAGGTCGAAGACAAGGAAGGACCCTTCAGTTCTACATCAGCCACCGAGGAAGCAATCCAAGCAGCCAATCCTGGATCAACGGAGAGGCTGACTGCGCCAGAAGGGTCCGATCTAGATGCAGGCACGGGGAAGGCTACCCCAGCACCCTCTGTGCAAGAGTCCACTCCAGCCCAGACTAACCCAGAGACAGTTGTGGCACAGCTCACTAAGGACCAGTCTCCAGAGGCAGCCACAGGGGGAGCCACGCTGGACCAGACCACCTCAGAGGCAGCCACACCAGACCAGACTACCTCAGAGGCAGCCACACCAGACCAGACCACCTCAGAGGCAGCCACACCAGACCAGACCACCTCAGAGGCAGCCACACCAGACCAGACCACCTCAGAGGCAGCCAGACCAGACCAGACCACCTCAGAGGCAGCCACACCAGACCAGACCACCTCAGAGGCAGCCACACCAGACCAGACTACCTCAGAGGCAGCCTCAGGGGGAGCCACGCTGGACCAGACCACCTCACAGAAGCCTGTGGGAGGAGCTGAGCTGATTCAAACCACTGAAGCCTCACGTGCTGACAACCAGACTCCTCCAACCTCACCTGTGCAAGGAGCCACACCCCAGATATCCTACAGTCCGCCGGTTGGGAATCTCAGGACCTCGGAACTAGGCAACAAGGCTCAGGTAAGGCCCATCACTATTCCCAGGTAGAGGGAAGGAGGGACAAGAATCAGGACTCTCAGATACTTCTCTTGCCCTGTGTGTCCAGGAGGCCCCAGAGCCCCAGGCTGCAGAAGAAGAGAGGCCGCTAGGAGAGACAGCTGGAGGTCAGGACATAGATGATTCAGTGCAGGCCGTTGGGGACACTGACCAGGTGAGCTCAGGGACTGGTTGGAATTGTGGTGTCCTTTTGCCCATTTGTGCCTCCAAGTAGAAGCATCTAATTCAGGAACATGTAATGGAGAGATAAATCCCTAGCTTACTCAGTTTCACCCACGCAGGCTACATTTTATGCTGTGACACCACTGCTCTGGTGTCCCCATTTGGTGGCAGTATGCCCCATACCTGAAGGAGGCCTGGATGTGACCCAACCTTGTCAGGAGTGTGGAACACTCCAGGAGAACTGGGCATGTCTGTCTTGCTACGAGGTATGCAACAGAGGAAGGGGATGGGGCTGGGGTTGGCCCAGGAAAAAACCACAGGTGGGTGCTGATCCCTGCCCAACATTACCTCCCTGACCTCAGGTCTACTGCAGCCGTTACGTCAATGCCCATATGCTCCAGCACCATGAAAGGTCAGGACACCCGCTGGTCCTCAGCTATGTTGACCTGTCTGCCTGGTGTTACGAATGTCAGGCCTATGTTCACCACCAGGTAGGTGCTGGACAGACCCTCTAATGTGTGCACAATGACCCCCCCCCCACAAACCTTCTGTTAAACTAGGTAAGGGGAGAATGAAGGCCCTACTGCATGAGGGGTAGTCCAAGAGACAGGGTGGTAGAAGGCTGGAGTGGGGGCAGTCTCCTGGCCGAAGTAAAGGGCGTGTGTAAAGGTAGGGCCGAAGTGAAGGCAGGTGCTCTCTTACCTACCTTGTCTTTCCTCCTCCTCAGGCTCTCCTGGATGTGAAGAACATCGCCCACCAGAACAAGTTTGGGGAAGACATGCCCCACTCACACTAACTCCTAGAACATGCTCCTCTTCACCTTCCGAGGCCCAAGATAGACCAGCCTTAGTTCATTCCCACCTGTTCCTTGGATGAGGGGCAGCTTCAGTCCATCCCCCCTGAAAACTCTTTATAACTCCCCAAGGGTGCTGATTTAAGTTTAAATACCTGTCCGAGGACAATGTTGATGAATTGTAGCTCTCCCCCTGCCCACTGCTTGCTCCAGGGAATCTATCTCCTCTGCCCCAAAAAGAAAGGAGACAGCTCAGTGGCCCCAAGAGGGGACTCAAGATGACACTTTGGAGGGGGGAGGAACCAACTGGCAGGTGTGGTGGGGTTGCATATGTAATACTGCATATGTAATAAAGTACAAACTGTTACAAAAGCTGGAGAAGGCCTTTTAATCTTAAGTAGGTGGAGAATCCCACACTCCTGGTTGACTGGACTGATGAGTATAGAAGAAATGAGGGCATGGGTCTTTTCAGGTCAACCCTGTGCCCAACCATTACCCGAAAATCCAACTGGAAATAGAGCAAGCAGCTTGACTGGCTGCAGTGTAGATTAAATGGTGGAATCTGTGAGAAAATAAGTGCTGTAGAAATAGGAACCTCACAGCCAGTCCCAGCTGTACCCTGGGCTGAGAAGGTAAGAAAACTATCAGGAATTGTCCTTACCAGGCCTCAGTCTCCTCGTCCGTCTTTTTGTCCTGATTTGGAGAAGGCGGGTGTCCAGGTTTAACATACTTAATTTGGTAGTCATGGGAAGCTTCTTTGGGAAAGAAGTGCTTACTACGGACCAGGGGTGGAAAATTGGAGAGGATCATTTGGCAGATTTATTTGTCCCACATGAGAATTAATTTGCCAACTCAAAGGAGTTGAGGGCTGAGGTTTCCTGGACTTCATGACCACATTATGACCCCAAGATGACCACTAGAGCTACATCTAGTCAAGAAGAAGGGAAAGAGAGCTGTGGCCAGCTCAGTCCATCCTTTTCAGGAGCATTCTGGATGCCCCACCCCTGCTTACATATCATTGATTAGAATTATCACAGGATTGTCATAGCTGCAAGGGAGTCTGGGAAATGTTTTAGGCTTGACACATGTCCAGCTCATCCCAGGTTTTTTGCCCTGACAGAATAACCACTCCTCTGCTACTCTTTCCCTCCAGGAACTGACACAACGCCTTCTGGCACCTTTTTTCCTCCAGTAGAGACAAAATCCTCTTCCCTGGCACCACTTTCCCTACAGGAACAGACACAGCCCTCTCTCCCAAGCTACCAAAAAGCCTGCTTGACGCAGCATAGACGGCATGGCTTCGAAGAGGCCCTTTCAAAACATTTCCCAAAGTTTGGCCACTCCGGTCAAAAGTACCACACCCCACACACTCTAAAAAATCCCCAAACCGCAGCCCTGGTGGGGGCAAGGTAAGGGCGAGGTGCATCAGGATACAGAAGGCATGTGGAGAGGTCCGGCCCCAGCCAGCGCCCCAATTAGACTTCCTTGGCGCCACCAACAGGCTGGGAAGAGACCCGCGCTCACCCTGGGGCTGGAAGGGGTGGGGGTCGAGGAGAGGGGGTGTGCCAGCAGAGGGGCCTTTAGGGCGGCTACTAGCGCATGCATGCCCCGCCCCCACCCCGCCCCCTCCTCTGGGACTGGGGCACCTCTCCCCCTGTCCGTCCTGTCAGAACTGCGGTGAGTTCGGGTCTCAGCGCAACCTCCTCTCCCAGGACCAAGGTGAGCCAGACGGATGGGCCCTCACACCAGTCCCGGCCTGGGAGGGTTCCCCACCTAGGGCTGTTGAGGATGCGACCAAGGTGGGGTTTGCGGTACCCTTCTCCTTCCACCACTTTTTCCCATAGGGCCAGCCACCACATCCCGGCCCCTTCACCTCCTGCTTTGTGGAGGCTGAGCTGGACCACTGGCCGTGCTGGATCAGAAGCGGGACTGCGGACTCGCAGACCCGCGGACCCAGCCTTGGGGTGGAGAGTCCTTTCCCATGCCATACACCATCCCTGCTAAAGAAAAACTGGCCGAGACGGTCCAGACTGACTGTTAGGGTCACGGTTTCAGGGTGAAACTTGGGAGTCACTTTGTGCACCAAACTTTCCATAGCACCTGACTTAGTTATGGGAAATGTAGTTGAGGTTGTCCTGAGCTAGCCCTGAAAGGGGGGTTGTAAGGGTTCACATTAGGCTGGACCCCCACTGTCCCCGAATCTGTGCCACCCTCAACCCCCCAACTCCCTCCCCCCTCAGGTAGTTAGACACACAATGGATGTGATGTGGTCCAGGCAGCAGGGATGGGGGTGAGGTGCGGTGGCTTGGGGCAAAGAGGGCCATCTCAGGGTCTCAAGGGCCTCTTAATGACACTCCAGTAGCACTTGGCACAGCAAGTGGTTCTATATTAACTTGCGACGGGTGAGACCTGTTGACCTATGATGGACCATGGGACCTCAGGCCAGTCACCATCCCCTCAGTTCGCTGAATCTCGCCAGCTGTTCCTCATTGATACAGAGGCCGTAGTGGGGATAGTCCGTACCTCACCAGCGTGTTAGGGGGACTGTTGAGCGGGAGCATTGCAGGAGGGTCACCTGGCACGAGCTAGGTTCTCAGTAAATAATACCGAGTGCTTTTAGGATCATAGCCACAGCCATAGCAATCTGCCAAAAGGGGAGAGCCCATCTTAGGTTCTCACCCTCAAATAATGGTACCCTCAGATTCCCGTCTGCCCAGGCCCAAAACTGAAGAGTCATCCTTGACCCTCTCCCCTGTCTCCTAAACTCTCCGTAAATCCTGCCAGTTGAGTCTACCTTCAGAATATTCCAGATTCCAACCTCCCCTTTACACATCCACCGCGGTGGCCCACCTGAACTACTGCAGTGGCCTCACTGCTTCCACCCTCACTCCCCTCTTCTCAGTTTGTCCCCATAGCTATATCTTCTCCTCTCTGTCTCCCCAATGTTGAGGACCCCCAGAACTCTGTCCTGTTTACCTCTTTCCTCATCATGGCCCCCTTCCTGAACCAGCACATCCAACAAGTGTTTTCAGGAATCTCTCTGGGCTAAGGACCTCACAACGGGACCTTGCTCTCCCGTTCTAACCTCCAGGTCCCAAACTCAACAGAAACCCCCAGAAACACTTAAACCCCACCCCCACATCTACTCCCAAATTGCCATTGCCCCCAGGTTTCCGGGGAGACTGGTAGCAGCCATTAAGATGCATTTCCTGAGGCCACACATGGAACTAAGATCAGGATGTGTATTGAATGAGTTAATGGTGACTTGTTATTAATAGCTTAACACTCATTGAGCGCCTGCTGTGTGTCCATCCTCTTCTAATTGCTTGGTGATTTACTTGCTTATCTTGTTTATTGTCTCTTTCTCACTTGTAGAATCTAATTCTCCCAAGCACAGGGACTTTATTTTGTTTACTGCCACATCCCTACCCCCTACACTCGTCACAATGCGGCGTACTGGAAGCTTCTCTAAGTATTGAATGGGACCTAAATCCTAAGGAAAATGCTAACATTAACCAAGCACCTTCTGCATGCTTATCACCCGTTGCTGAAATATCTTTGTTGTTGTCTGTCTTCCTGACTAGATCTGCAAATGCTTTGAGGGCCAGGGTTTTTTATTTCCCCCCACCTTGCCACACAGTAGGTTCCCTGCAGCAGTATGTTGAATAAGTAATAAAGACTGCATTTTAGATAATGGCTCACAAACCTCATAATTCACTTATTTATTTGGTTCCTTGTCCCCACCTTTTAGAACATGTACTCCCTGGGCCCAGTAATTTGCTTAGCACTTACTGCATGGCAGGCGCTGTACTGGGCCAGGGTTACTGATGAAATCCCTGCCATCCCTCCAGAATGGGGCAGGACAGCTAACGGGTAGGGGGTTCTTTTTGGGGGTGAAGAAAATGTTCTCAGATTATGGTGATGGTTGCACAACTTCGTTAGTATACTAAGTCATTGAATTGTACAGTTTAACTAGGTTAATTTTTAAAGTATCTCAACGAAGTTGTTTTTAAAATTTCTGCCTTCACAGAGTTTATGTTGTACAAGGGAATGAGAGTAAGAGAACTAACAGCATAAATCATGTATCTAGCTTATTAGAAGGTGATTAGCACACACTCGGCACTCAGTAAAAGTTGACTCGGTTACACCAGCTGCCCCCTGGCCCCCATGGTCTCCTCGCCTAGCCAAACCTACGGCCTCCCTTCCCTCGACCATTGCCTTTCTTCTCTTCCTACTCGCAGGGTCTGCTGTCCACATCTCTTCCCTGAGCATGGCGCCACCAAAGAAGTCTAATGTGTTTGACCTGGGCCTGGGTACGTGGAATGCAAGTGCCCAACAGGAGAACCACAGTGCTCAGGCACCTTCCAGGGCTGTTGGCAAGCTGCCCGAGTACAAGGCGGTGGTTGTGGGTGCAAGTGGTGTGGGCAAGAGCGCACTGACCATCCAGCTGAACCATGAGTGCTTTGTGGAAGACTATGACCCGACGATCCAGGATTCCTACTGGAAGGAGGTGACCCTGGACCAAGGGAGCTGCATTTTGAATGTGCTGGATACAGCTGGGCAGACCATTCATAAGGCCCTGCGTGACCAGTGCTTGGCTGCTGGGGATGGTGTGCTGTGTGTCTTTGCCCTCGATGACCCCTCATCTTTAACCCAGCTGCAGCAGATGCGGGCCACCTGGGGCCCTCACTATTCCCGGCCCATTGTTCTTGTGGGCAACAAGTGCGACCTCGTGACCACCAAAGGAGATGTTCATGCTGCTGCTATAGCCCTCGCAAAGAGCTGGGGGGCCCCTTTCGTAGAGACCTCGGCTAAAACACGGCAGGGTGTAGAGGAGGCCTTCACCCTGCTCATCCATGAGATCCGAAGGGTCCGGGAAGCTGAGGCAGCGTCAGGTGGGGCTAAGTCCCGGCACCATAAGACCATGTGCCACTGTGGCTGTTCTGTGGCCTGAAGGTCTTGGTCAAGAAAAGTGGACCATCCCCCAGGCCAGGGTGATGCTTTCTTGATCTGAGAACACCAACAAGCAAGTAGCTGTGAGACACTGGGTGTACTTGGGATCAATGGGTCCCTCTTCTAGGGAGGTTTTCATTCGGTGATGGGCTTTTTGTTAATGTGGAACATACTGTTAGTTATGTTCTGTCGGGTTGAGAGATTTTGTGCAAAACAAAATAAATGTTCTCAGGTTTCAAAGCTGCTTCCATGCCTAGCATTATGTGGGTGGGTGTGAAACTGGTGAGAATATTACTTGGATTGTGAGAACTCTTTCATTCAAGAAATGTGGGGGAGCCTGCAGTGTGCCAGGTCCTGCTTTGGGTGCAAAGGAGGTAGAGTCACACAAGACACAAGAAAATCCCTAGAGTTGTACATACTACGTAAAGCTATATATTAAAGGCAGGTGATAGGAAGCCTTATTGAGTAGGTGACATTTGGGCAAAAACGCAGATAACTAGGCACAGGGAATAAATAGCAAGTGCAAAGGTGCAAAGGCCATGATCATGAACCAGCTACCAACACTTAAACTCCTAATATCTTCAGGACTATGTAGGAACACAGTTAGAGTGGCCTCTATACAATAGAAATGAATATTTAAATGTTGCAAATCAAGCTAACAAATATAAAGAAATATATGTTCTATCCTACCTTGACAAAGCTTTCTTAATGACCTGGAGGCCCAGGTTCTAACTTCTGGTACTCAGAGTTTCATGCCAGGATGTGAGTGGGTTGGGAATGCTGAGACCTGGCTTCGCAGTCCACTATCTCACCCGGTCACCCCTCCCCACATAAGAAGGCACTCTGGTGCAGGTGGAATCGCCAGCTAGTATGGCCCAGGCTCTACTCACACTTCACTAACAGCCACTTCTTGGTCCTCAGGATGGACCCTGGAAGATGCTGCTGCAGGCCCTTGAAAGGGGCTCCCCATACGTGAGTAAAGCCTAGAAGTGGGGTTCAGGATCTGGGAGGGTGCTGCCACTGAGGCACAGACTAAGGGAGTGTCTCTAAAGAGCTGGACCAAGGTCAGGGGCCACTCTTCAGATCTAAGGACTGCCATCACCACCCAACCCAGCCGCTAGAAACTGCCACTCACAGTCATGTGCATAGCTGTTTCAGAACATTTATTGTGGGGCCAAGGGTTGGGATCTTGAGTCCCGAGGGCAGCAACTGAGGCTGGTAGGGACGTGCAGACCGAGAGCAGGAGGGGTGTCAGGAGAGGGGCGACAATGGGCCCTCGCCGGCGGGGGGCACAGAGGGCCCGTCATGCCGGCAAAGAGCAGTCGGGGTTTGGGGGGAGGGGCGGCTCTGGACCCAAGGGCGCTCGGGATCCCGCCGGTGCTCAGGGAGGCAAGAGGCGGCGTGCTGGGGGCGCAGGGGTCTCCAGGCGTTTCACGCGCAGCAGAGCCCCCAGCACACCCTCAGGGGGTACATCAGGGCCCAGATCCTGGTCGGTGGCCCGGCGGAGGCGGCGGCGCTGGGCAACCACAGACTCCGAATCCGAGCTTCCTGTGAGGATCCGCCCCAACAAGTACCTGCGGGGGAGCAGAACCGATGCAGTGAGGATATGTGGGCGTGTCAACGCCCGGGCCCTAGGACCCAGGTGGCCCCGCAACCCCATATTGTCTGGGGACCCGCCTTTCCCAGCCCATTGCTTTGAGAAAATGTCCCCGCCTCCCTATCCTGCCCCCAGAAACTGGGCTTGGGAGTCTCCATCCCTGGGCCCAAAGTACACGTTCCCCAATAACCCACCAGCCAGGCATCTCTATCCCCACACCCTAGGTCCAGGGCCTCAACTCCCTGAAAACACACAGGCGTTCTCACTTCCACTCCAGGATGCAGGCACCAGCCCACCCCGTGCCAGCTACCTCAGCAGTTCGGGGTCCACATCTGGTGTGTCGTCACCGGCGTCCTCGGCCTCGGAGCCCACTGGACCGTCGTCATAGATTGGGGGCCTGGGTCGGAGTGCAGGGGCGGGGACCAGCTGCGCTGCGAGGGCGGCAGGATCCAGGCGGGCACGGAGCAGGGCGCGGGCCAGCTGCGCGGCGGGAGCGTCGGGATCGTCCTCCAGGGCCGGGGCCAGGTCAGTGGTGCGGGAAGCGCCCCAGACGCGCAAGAGCTGCGCCAGGACTCGTGCCTGCTGATCCTCGGCCTCCTGCGCCTCGGCCCGCGCCCGCTCCTGCCGTTCAGCCTCCAGCAGGTGCGCCAGCGCCCGCGCCAGCTCCTGCACGACCTCCACTGCCTCGCCCCGGGCCGCTGCCCGCCGAAAACGACGGGGAGCGCCAGCCTCGCCCAAGGGAGGCGAGGCTGCGCCCAGATTGCGGGGCTCCTGCGGAAAGACGAAGTAGGGGGAAAGACGGCGCCCGTCAGGCCAGGGACCTCCAACATGGGGGTCTCCAAAGGCACCGTGGCCCCCTCAAATATACCCAGGTACCCCTAAGACCACAGGAGACCCCCAAATATCTCCAGAAACACTTAAGACCACAAAAGACCCCTAGTACTTCCCCCCGCCCCTCCCACCACACACACAATTTCCTAGTGACTGAGAACTTGCCTCAGGACTTCCGAACACCAGGTTTCTTTACAGGAGCGGCAATGGTAGATATGTCAGCTATAAATTTTTCTACGGCAATATTTTGGACAATAGGAATATATGTTTCCATTTTATAGGTTCTTATTGTCCACTTGTTTTACCTAAGAGGTACCAGACTGTTTGCACCTTGCTTTTCGAAATTTATATCTGCACCAGTTCCTTAAAAACAATTTTCCCTTTTTTCTCTCTTTCCCTAGTCTTCTGCATTGAATACACTTTGTGTGGATGTACAAGAGTTTATTTAACCAGAGTCTTCAACTGATGAGCATTTAGGGTGTTTCCAATCTTTCACTATCTTATAAACAATGGTACAATGAATAACGATGTTATATATCATTTGGCATGTATGCAAGTCTATCTGTAGAATAAATTGACCAATTTGCAGTTCAGACAGCTTTGAAACAATTTCAATAAGTTTAAATAAATAAAAGAGGGTATCAAAAGTATGAACCAGGACATAAAACTGACCATGAATGAAGATTTGAAAAAGAAACATCTAGAACATCTAGGGACATATTTTAAATCAAATTAAAAATTAAAAGGGCAAGTTAAACAGAAGGTTTAACACAGTACAGGTTAGACACAGTACAGGAAATAACAGGCTTGAACAAAGCTTAGAAACAGATCCACACATGACTTGACACTTGCTTCATGACAGAGGTGACACCGCAGAGGAAAGGGGACAGGTCGAACTCCAATAAATCATGCAGGAACAACCGATCCAAATTTGAGAAAATGAAAAAGAAAAAACAAATAAATTTGACTACATTATCCCTGCCCAGGTAGCTCAGTTGGTTGGAGCATGCTCCTGTACACCAGAAGGTTGTAGGTTTGATTCCGGTCAGGGCACATACCTAGGTTGCAGGTTCAATCCCCAGTCTGGCCATAAATGGGAGGCAACTGATCAATGTTTCTCTATCACACTGATGTCTCTCTCTCTCTCTCTCTCTCTGTGTGTGTGTCTCTCTCTCTCAAATCAATAAAAATACACCCTTAGGTGAGGATTGTTTTTTTTAATGACTACATTACAATTAAGAATTTCTTTTTGTCTGAAGACACCATAAAAAGAATGAAGAGTAAATCAGAGTAGGGGAAGATGTCTACAATACAAGCCATCAGTAAAAGATCAGTATCCAATATTCAAAGAATGTCTAAAAAGCAATAAAACAGGCAAAATTCATGATCAAATATTTCACCAAAAGGAAACAAAAGCAGTTACTAAATATATGATACATAGTGAACTTCATTAGTAATCAGAAAAATGCAAATTAAATGTCAGTGAGATGCTATGCATAATACAGCCAAAAGATTGCTAACAAATTAAGAACTCTAATAATACCCAGTGTTGACATGGATATGGAAAAAATGGAAACTCTTATACTTGCCTGTTGGCAATCAACTGCCAAAATAAATTTGAAGAACAATTTGGCAATGTCTAAAAGGTGCGCATCTCCTATGATCCACTCCTGGGGCGTTACATTCCAGTGTAGCATTTGTGCATATGCTACTGGACACAAGTTCATTAGCATTTACAACAGCACTGTTTGTAATAGTATAAAAGTGGAGGAAGGGCCCTGGCTGGTGTGGCTCAGTGGACTGAACACCGGCCTGCAAACCAAATGGTCGCCAGTTCAATTCCCAATCAGGGCACATGCCTGGGGTGCGGGCCAGGTCCCCAGTAAGGGGGTGTGCAAGAGGCAACCACACACTGATGTTTCTCTCCCTCTCTTTCTCCTTCTCTTGTCCTCTGTTTGGAAATAAATAAAATATATATTTTTTAAAGTGGAGGAAGGAAGAAAAAAAGAAAGAAAAGCCTAGAAACAACCCAAATGTCTACTGACATATTGAGAGTGCATCAATAAAGCATGATATACTCATATACTAATGATATACGCATAGGATAAAATATTTTACAGCAATATAATGAATTATAGCCACACACTTTAATGTTGATGTATCTTACAACCAGTGTAGAGAGAAAAACAAGAAAAGCAGGTTGCAAAATTGCACTGCAGACTGCCTGCGACTAACAGTCACCTGATGACTTCCTAGTGACCCCTAGTGACGACCAGAGGCCTGGCACCAATATGATTACATTTCTATGAGGAAAAACTGAGCAAGATACTGTGTATGTCGTAAGGTCCAAAGAAAAGTAAGGGATCAATGAACAGAAAATACATGATGATGATTATGGAGGAGAGGGGCTTATATGGGGAGGGGCACCATGGGCTCCTAAATATTGGTCACACTCTATTTCTTAAATGGAGTGGTAGATACCCATGGGAGTTATTTTATCATTATTCCCTGCATTGCATATATATCTTAACTATATTGTGTCATATATAATGTTCCATAATTTTTAAAATCGT